CCAATCCCTAACGTTCTGGGATTCTGTAATCTCAGTCCTTCCCCAGGTCAAATATGACAGTGTTATGACTCAAGGCAAATGCACTGTGCAGGACGGAGATCAAAAGGACATGTTAAAAAACCAAGGCTGAAGACGAAATTACTTTCCTTGCTCTGCTTTTTCTGGGAGAAAGCCTCCTTTTGTTCCCATTTCACAGAGTGCCTTCTAGGTCTTACAGGAAAGCTATTCAGTGGCCAGAAATCAGATGCATTTAATTCCAGTGAGGTAGAGGGGAAGCAGGGAAGCTTGCCTGTGGGCAAAGAGAAGCTGGAGAGAAAAATCCTGGTATTTAGTTAAGGGTTTGCAACAGGTGAGCACCTGTCCACAGAAGTATAAATGCTGCGTAGAAATTTCTTCCCCTTCCCGTTATTGGCCAAAGCAAGGTCACCTTGACAGTGACAATATAATAAACAAAAGATGATAGATTACTTCTACAGATGGGAGATGGAGAAAAACAGATGTATGTCTGTAAAACAGTCCCTCAGACTAAACAGTCCTTTCTCTTGAAGACTTGAAATATCTTCCTATGTGCATGGGCTACCAGCATACTTCTTGGTGTTGAATGATGTTTACATGTTAGAAAGAAACAGAGCAGTGGTAGTACTACAGAATCCTATTTCTTTACTTTTACGTTCACAACTCCCAGTGACAACACCTTAGCAGCCCCTTCTTTTGCAACACTGACCTAACAAAAACACAGCAGCACAAAATGAGATCACAGTCAGACACCTATGGCTTCACTGGAGGATTGAATAAGCACAGCATAGAGTTAGAAATTGCCCCAAGAAGAATCAGCCTAGCATTATGTTACAACTATGCTTCTCTCAAAAGCTTCATGCAAGTTTTGGGTATTCTTGTCACAAGTCACCGAGTCCTTCAAGTGAAAACTAATAACGTTATTAACGGCAGTCACAATCACCTTAAATGTATTAATAGCAAAAGTGAAGTTACAGCATCTTCCTCTGACAGAAAGAGGTTCAGGAAGCAAGAGACAGACATGTTTAATTAGCAAGCTGCCAGTACAGAGTCATTTTTGGATCTCAAGTACATGTGAAGAAACATGGCAAAAATATCTCTTGCTGTTCATGGCTTTAGAGCAGAGTGGTTAGCCTGCATCTCCATCCAGATTTTACAAGTGACACAGATGCAGGATTGCTTATAACTTTGAGAACAAAGCACTCTGCACACCTGCAAATGCATTGACTGCAATGCACTTCTGAGCTTAAATACAAGCACTGCCATCATCCTGGAAAGGAAATGAAAGAATCCCTCCCAGACCACTAAAGTATCAACTTCTCTTCCGAGCTCTCCTTATCACTACATACCGCCATCTCCACACTCCTTGCTGCCACAACATCTTTGGGTTTTGCATCTTTGGTTCCAATGTAGGAGCCGATGGTGTCACAGGACCAGGGAGAGTACTGGCTGTAGTCATTTCCTTTGTATTTCCCAGCTACCTTCAGGTCTTCATCCAAGTACTGTACAAAAACAAAAATCTGGTTCTGTAAGTGAAGGAAAGAAGCAGTTTCACAGCCATCACTACTTAGTTCAACAGCTCTGAACTTGAAGAAAAACACCACCAGGAACTTTTTAAGTGGATACATCACCATTTCAAATCAGGCAGTGGCAAGCATGAAATGTGTGAAATTCTGACCACCTGGCTACACACTCCCAGTGCTGAATGTTCACTTGGCCAGTATGAAAGTGGTTAAAAAAATGAACCTCCATCAAGCTGTTACTTAACTCTAAACATATACGAAGTAAATGAAACAAAGTCTAGTAACCATGAAGACTGACTACTTCAATTAATAATGGCTCTAAACTAATTATCTTGGTTGCACCAAAAGCTTAGGATCAGTGGGAGATCAGAGAATCAGCGGCCAGTTGAGAAAATGCAGAGTGCACTATGAGGACTTCCCACCTGAAGCACAAAATCTACCCCCCAACACTTACCAATGCTGTACTGTTCTAATTTTCTTGTCATCTTCATCTATCAGCACACACAAACTCCAAAGTATTTTCTAAACATGCTAGTAAGTCACGTATTTGTCAAAATATGCTTACCTCCTCTGAATGAAAAGGATGAGGCAAGGTTGGTGATGGTGCAAAAGGAGGTGGAGAAATCACCTTCCTCTCTTCCAGCTGCGCCATGATCTCCTTCCTTCGCCGGTGAAGTTCATCCAGGCTGGGATGAGGCTGAAATGAATACAGAAATGTGTCAGAGAGTATGGCAACCATGTACTACAAGAAAAGGAAAATACAGTGAATAGGAACTGTCACTACAATAATAAGTAATGATCACTTTGTTAGAAGTATATCTGTTAACTTTCATGTTTAATGAAGGACATGCATGTTCCTACACCAGCCAGAATGTTAGTTTAAGACACCCCAAAGGCCAGGAATGCTATTTGCCTAAAACTGATCAGATTCTCAACTAATTCAGTGTTTCTAACTTTAAAACTACTAATCTTGTAACTCACAGGTAGCTCAACATGACTCTGTGTTCCAGCTTGGCAAAGTTTCCACTGGAACATATTCCAGCATGACAAAAGCCCATTTTCAGTGACATGGGGCAAAGTGGTAGAACTCTACAGATCACAACCTAGTCACAGTTTGCATTTATAGTTCCTTCTGCAATAGAATTAAACATCCCACAAATGTGTCAAACTCAAAACTGATAGATCTATAAGCTATGTTAAGAATGCTTCCTGGAATCATATTCAGAGCCTTAAATGTGAATGACAACTAGGTAAGTCCAACTGGTCTACAGCACTCAACCCCAGCTGGTGATTTACCAAAACAAGTTTGTACATTTCTACTAGGAAGAACCTCCAGTTGGCAACTTTAAATTAGAGAAAATTTGGAAGAGCAGAATTTTTAGTTCCTTTATCGACGGATGTATGCTGATGTATTTATTTACTCATTAGGCACAGAGATGGTCAGTCACAGACAGGCAGTACAAGGATGCACACGTGGCCATTTGCGCACACTGTACTTGATCTGCGCTCTCTTGAAAGAGAGAGCTCCTCTCCAGCATAATCTTTCTTGGAGAAGTCAAGGCCATATTAGCCTTCCAAAATTAATTTCAATGCTTTTCTACTTCAAGTGCTAAGTAGCAGCCCACTCTTACATATTAACATCATAACAATTGCAGAGTTGACAATTAACTAAACTCTCTTCCAGTTTGTGATCGGCTTCATCAAAGGTACCCCTTCTTGAAGTCCAACCTTCTAATTTCTCACAAAAATCATCACCTTACTGAAAAAAACGGAATGAAATCAACTTCTCAAGTAGTCTGTATTTTCTCTCAAACAACTACACAAAAGCAACATAAAATCATACCCTGTGGCATGAAGGTCTGATCTGACTGAGATGTGGAGCCACTGGGCAATAACCCTCTGGTTGCTGGTATCTGTCTCTGGATTCAGGTACGTAGGAAGGTACAGCTGCTTGTGGAATTTCAATGGGTACAGGGCTTCCCCGGACAATCTCCTCTCGCTGATACGGCTGGACGGGGGGATACACACGACGGCTGTCATAGTGCGGTGGGTATATGGGTTGCGCCATACACTGTGGCTGCGGGTACTGTGGGCTCACGACACGATCCTGAAGATACGGCGCGTAATGGTCTAGGTAGGGTGGACCAGGTTCAGGAGCTGATGGAGGAGGTCGGACAAAGCGAGACATGGACTGAGTGGGATAGTAAACTCCTGAAATAAGGCAAGAGGAAAGACACAAACAAGATACAAGAAGTGATTATCACAACTGTCCACAAAACCAAATCCATTTCAAATACTTCAGTCTACAAGGATTATGAAAAGAATGGCGCAAATTAATTCAGATTTGCTGTTTGGCCCCATAGTCTAACTAGTATTTCTATCAAAAAATAACCACAAAAAACCTTGAAAAAGCAAAAGCTGATCTAAAGCTCAAGTGACGCAGTTTAATTATCTAAATAAGATACCAGCAAGGTGTAAAGGTTACAGTAGCTGGAGAAGGGGTGGCGAGACTGAGCCCATCACAGGTGCCACAGCAGTCTCACAGGCATACCAAACAGACATAATTCACCAGAATGTCTCTGCAGGTGAACAGGAATGCTTTTAGCTAGGCAAGACCTAAAAAGTTAACTGAAGATTAGCCTGTATATCTTTATCCACACAAATAAAATCCAATTTGTCCTAACATATCAGAGCCATTGTCTGTGTAAAGAAACTTGGATTAATTAGAATTTGAAGTTATCTATAAACTTGTTCTACCTCTTGAACAGGAAAAGTAAATTTTAGTACTGTGGATCACCAAAAGACTTCTAACCACTACCTAGATTACTAAAAGTTCAGGTAACTATCTGGGATCTCTGGATAATTTAAAATTACACCTGAACGTGCACATCATCAACAACGTGTGCATCAAACTGTACACAACTCAGACTGTCATTTGCACACAATCAAATGCAAGCTTATTTTCCTTCAAAATGCTCTACAACTTTTTAAAAATGGTTCCTCCTTCCCCTGCTTCTTTTCAAGGGCTTTTTCTTTTTTCCACTTCTTTTGGTCTTTCAGTCCTTATTTTTCTTTCATAGAAACTTCACTTTCTGTAATTTCTCTCTATAATCTTATGTTGTATAAGAACCATTCCCTTATGATAGTCAGTTTTTTTAAACCCCTTCAATATTATCTTTCTCCACTTGGACACTTAAAAAAGAAAATAAAGGGAAAATTCTAAGATGTTTTCTTTTTTTCTGCCTAGCTCTTCTCTAACTGCACTTGTCTCCACCCCATTACATGCATGCGCAGACATTTCTGAAACATTCATTCACTTTTCATTAAGGACGTAAATACTTTCACCCCTCAAGCATAAACCCCTCTGCTTATCTTTATTGCCATTTTCCCCAGGTCAAATTGAATTAAGGTTTACCATATTAGATCCCTGATCTACCCCAGTCGGGAAGAACTAAAGAAAGAAAGATGTGCTACACTGGATGGATACAAACCTCTGTTTTCACCTTCACAAGGGTCCTCATTCAAGAAATAAAAAGCCTACTGATTTCCATTTATTTTGCCATCACCAGATTAGTGCCTATAGCCCACATGGTATGCAAGAAAACTCCAACTTAAAGCTTAAATAAACACCAGAGCGGGAAGAAAGAATAAAATCCGTGTGAAGTTGAAAGATAGAGAGCTTGGTCTCAAACTTACCTTGTTGGTAGGGTGCTGGCTCAAATGGTGGGGCAGCTCCTCTAGGATCTTGATAAAACATATCTGCTTGCTGAGTATTATACAGCTGAGACCCTCGTGGTACAATTTGCAACTGCTTGGTGACAGACACTGAAGGCAGATCTGTGGGTGCCCGAGCAGGCACAGGATGAGGGTTGACTGGTAAGGCAGAAATAGAGCTCTTGGGGACAGATTCCAGCCTAAAAATTAGAAATAAGGCATTGCTCACAAAGGCCTGGTATAACACACACTACTTTAAAACACTGTTCTTTGACAATATTCCACCTTCTGAAGGCTTACATCTCCTTCTCCAATTAAGATATAAGCAAACAGGGAAGTAAAGCAGTTTAGAGGTTTAGTGTTCGTTTTTTATTCTACTCTTCAATCGCTTAAAAAAAAAAATCAAAACAAAATCTCAACAAAACCAACCAACCCAAAACCCCTTGTTCTGTTTCTTTTCCAGAGAATGGGTTTACTTTGCCTCTACTGCATGTTTACATACGTGACACTTTGAAAAACAGTTAGAAAGACACATACAAGTCAGGAGGGGATCCAGGGGCACTGCTACTCAGGTGGTCCATCTTCCCTGGCTTCAGAGCAGATTCGTAACCGGAGTCAGTCCCTCGGGAAATAAGTGGCGTCACTGTGCTGCCTGTTGACACAATTCCATTTGGCAGAGCAGGCGTTTTCCTACTGGGCAAGTCCACTCCCCCTTCCTCTGAGAGGATGGCTCCTGAAGCCAGGCCCACCTCGTTCAGCTGGCCCAGGGAGGCACTCAGGGGTCTTCTGGGAACCAGACGCTTGTTCATTTTACGGAATCTTCAGAAAAAAGAAACAACACATCAAAAATTGAAACAGAACACTAACAGGAGTTGTGGTCTCAATTTCTCAGACATAGATGCTACTGAAAGCTTCAAGTTTTAATTCAAATTTCTTAAGGGCTTGTGAAAATATTTGTTAGACTACAACTTCACTGCTATTTGAACTGTTAATAGCAGTTTCAGTAAGAAGAACAAGGATGGATTTTTAATTACAAGTACACCAATAATTCACAGCTGAACTTCACACAAATCTAATTTCCTGTACATACATGATTTCAACTGTACAGAAGAAAACCAAAACCAACCATCACATAAAGTACTACCTATAGTAACAGAGGCTTAAGAATAAGAATCATAGACTACTATATTTTAATTTTATTCAGAGAAGAAAATAATAGCAGAAAAATTAAGTGACAAGAGATGAACAGGTTCCCTTTTGCACCATTTGCCCAACAGAAAGACAGGCCAAATCTTTATTACCATGTGGTATCTTTAAAGCACAGTTTGTTAAGATTTAGGTCACTATACCAATATGCAGCTTACACCATTTGTGGTGTTCGATAAATTAAGTGATAGAAGAGATAAAAACTTTATGAACACATTGAAATTCCAAAAACCTAACTGCTCCTGGTAAGTCTGAACAAACACGACCCTTTCAACTAATGTTCCACAAAAATCAGCACACTGACGGTACTGGACCAATGAGGAGAGCAAATTCCAGAGCTGAAGGTCCTGCGCTAAGCGTCCTGCCATTCCCTCAGGTACCAGAACGCAAATGGCAGGGGGCACACTTGTAGGACTGAGCGTCACTGCTATTTGTTGTGGAACAAGCGGCCATTTCTTCAGCAGGGTTGAAGCTAACACTTTCACATCATATCTAGTAAGCAAAGTGAGATGGTAACACAGACTAGGAAGATACACATATCATTGTGGAAAAAAGGAGCAGTTACACTCTATTGCTCAATCTTCAGATAATCTTTGCATTTCCCTACGTGCACAGCATTAACAGCAATGCAAAAGAGGCAAAAAGGGTTTTCTTGTCGTGGTTTTGTTTTCAGATGTGACTGAGTATAGAGTCAGACAAAGTCCAATTTTCCTATGTAGATCTGAGCTGCTCATCTGTAAGCGTTCATTGACTGTCTTCTAGCCACCTTCCTAACTCTCCTAATTCTCTGACTGGATTAATCTTTACCCACATAAACTATAAATTCAAGCTACACGATGTTGACAGCGGGCATCATTCAGCATGCCTTAAAAAGGGAGTAAATAAACCAGGCTATCATCAGAGTAGAAGCACCTGAGTAGGGACAGACTATAGCTTTCTAAACATACATCTCATGCCAGCCATGCACGTCAGCTGGACACGTGGAGGTGAACCAAAGTGAGCTCCCCAGGCTGAACTTATGACTTGACCTTGGCATCCCGCTCAATACCCAGATATACCAAAATACCCAGTTTCTTCCTGCAAAGCAGCAGCAGGCGGTTGGAAAGCACTGCCACATTCTTCCTGCCAATTACTTCCAGACACCTGCCTCCCATCAGGGTTCTGAGAAGTGCACTACCTGACAGCTCCCGAGTCTCTGAAGGCTCGCACACAACCTGCACGATCCGGCCACCCCTGCCCATTCATCCAGCACACGACAGGATGCTCAAGAGAGCCAGGCGCACCCATGGACACCCATGCAATCAAAGGTGACAGGATGAGTTTATACAGCACCACCCAAGATGAAGTACTTTGAAAGAATAAAAGTTGCACAGTGCTGCACTCTGAATTTTTCAAAAAAATTTTATTAATCTTTGCTGTAGTATCCACACGTACAGGACACAAAGATAATCTTAAAAAGTTTAATACTTGCCAAGAGGGGAATCAGTTGTTCAAGCAAGTCTAGATTAAATTCACTATTTAAGGCATTACCACATACTTTCCCATAACCTTCCTGCAAACTTAAACCTATATGCAGAGATACAGGAAGTATACAGCAACAGCGATGCATACTATTCATACTGAACGTTTTTAAAAGGAGGAACACTAACGGAGTATCTACTCAAAGGAATTAAGCAAAGGTAAAAGGTACAAGGAAGAATTGGAACTCAAGGTTCCCAACCACCTACAGATACCACTGCAACCTGAAACAAGACCAGTATTCACTTCACTTCACCGCACGACAACACTATTACTAAGGCATGCAAGCCAGTCTGGATAAAATAGGCCTCTTCCACATGCAAAGCTGATGAGCAGTCCTTCTCAATACCTACACAACTAGTTCAGAGGTACTAATACTGACTCGTCATCCTTGTTAACTATCCAAACCAGCACTACCAATCTCCATTTTCTTAACACCACAACAAAAGGAGAAAACTCCCAACTGCTTCTGCAGAACACAAGTATCAAAGTCCTATTCTCTGTTTGAATAACTGCCTTTGTCATTCTGACACCACATGCTCTGCTCTTTTTTTCTTCCTGTTTTGACTTTGCACCAAATCTGTACTGAATGTAACTTATTTACTGCAGACTTCATATGACCACCATTATTTTACCTCTTCAACAACAGCTTTAACCACTTAAAGGTTACTGCATGTGCAATCTGTCAAAAAGTTTCAAAGAATAACTGTTGCAGAAATAAAACTCGCAACGCTCTTTTTTAGCTCTCTGGATAACCCTAGCAGCACAGAACTACAACAGGACCCCAAATGTCTGGAAAACTGTCAGCAACCCACCTGAGTGTAAAGGCAAGGTGAGAAGTACACACAAATAAACAACCACAATGGCTGCAGGCAGACAGCATGTTTAGTCACACTTAGGAAATAAGAAAAACAGCCCACCTCCAAAATCTCAAACGCATCAAACCTTCAGAGGTGTTGAACAAATAAAATTATCCTATATTTAAGAACAAACAGTACCAAAACCCAGGAGATGCCTCTTACAAGTTTTTCCACATTATTTCTTGCTCATCATAGAATGGATAGAGTTGGAAGGGACCTTTAAAGATCTTCTGGTTCCAAGCCCCCTACCTCCTCTCCCCACTCCTAGACATGGCAAATAACCCATACGGATAAGATGAAACAAAGACTGGACTGATTACTGCCATAAAAGGTACACTTACTTTTCTAGCTCCTCTTGTGAATGTGCAAAGGTGCAGCTGGCCCCTCGGGGGCATCCTCCTCTCTGTTTCATGTCTCGGCACATGTATGTCTTGTACTTGCTGTGCTGAGGAGGCTGGCAAGGTTAAAGAAGCCAGGTGAGATACCTGAATATAAGTGCACTTATCCCAGGGCTGAACATACTCTCTTAAAGGCCTAATGCTTGACTACTAATTCCTTCAGTTTGCATGTTTCAGAAGTACCCAATGTGAAATAAATGACTGGAGCAGTACTCGCATTTGGTTCTTCAACACAACTAATACATCCAAGAGTAGGTATTTGGACAACTAAGTTACTATCAGGTTTTTAAAACATTTTTATTCTAAATCATTCCTGGAGCTTGACTGGAAGCTGGATGTTTCAAGAAACAGTTGACAAAATTGACATAGGCTGAAAAAAAATAACCATGCTTAATCAGAGACTGACAAATATTCATCAAGCTTTGTAGCAGGCTGAAAATAAGGACAAATAATTCAGTTACCCTTGCTTTCTATTAGCTCAAAATGGCACTTGAGTATCCCTTTGATCTCTACGAGACTTAAATTTCATCAAGTTCTTTTTTGCTACCCTTGGGACTAAAAATCTCTGAACTATCCACAATAATTACTCCTGTCAATAGTTGAGGGTGCAATCTTACTCTGACACAGAACAGCAGGGTATGGGCTGCCTTCTGTATCTTTCTGAGTTAAGTTTCCTGAGAAACAAAGACTTAATGCAATCTTGCTGTTTGCATGTATGCCGATTTGCCAGCCTCTCTAAATAAATTCTGACAAAATGAGAGGTAGTCTCAAAGACATTTAAGTTCCTACAGCTGTTATCGCAGAATTAAATCAGAAGCAGAAATATCCTAACAGTCCCCACTGAGGGAAAGGTATGCAACAGTAAATTCTTGCTTCCTGAGAAACCCAAAAGATGTAAGTCTGTAAGAAGCCATCTGCAAACCGATTTTTAAATTTTTTTTTCTTTTTTTTCCCCCATCTCCTGTAGCGAATGCAGGATTTTGCCATGGGGTACACAGGCTGCAAAGCCCTCTGCTGGCCTCTGCTGCCAAACAGCAAAGCCCTGCCCAGTACTCAGCAGATGTCCTCTTTCCCATTTGGGAGGCTCGGAGTTCCCTTCCAAGTGGCACAGCACGTGCCAGGTCCAGGCAATGGCCTTACCAGAACAAAACCCCTCACTGTTTTTCCCACCCTGATTTCCACTTGTGTATTCCAATTGCTTCTCCTTTTGCTCCTAACAGCAGCCATTAAGCATCCCAGTGAACGCAAACATGTGAACCAGCACAAATAATTTAGTCTCATTTTTCATTTTGCCTTTTTTTTTTTGGCAGAAATAAATCTTTCTACCAGTTCAGTTCCCTGAACCAGCTCTCCAGGAGGATGAGTGCCAAAGCAAGGGAGGGAGTGGGAGCGTGTGACAGGCAGCTCTGCCTTTCAGCAGCAGCTAACATTTATATCAACCTAGCTACACGACAAAATGAGATCAAAGGAACATGTGATAAGGTAACTATGAGATAAGCTAATATAGATCTATTTAGCAACATAATTTCATTTCTGAAACAACAACAAAAAGTGTTTCAAGAACTTGGACTGCACCTTTATATTAAAACTTCCCAAATCTTTAAGCTTTACAAACCATTAAGCACAGGTATTAATTTCATTAATGCAGAGCCATCTGGCTGAAGTGTGTCACATTAAAACAAACCCAAGAAAATTCCCATAGATCACAGTGAAAGGCACCCTGGCTTCTCTTCCCACCTGCTAATCAGGAGGGATGTTTCTTCATTTCCCTAAGGTTGCAGCTGGATCACACAGTTTTCATTCTAGTGAGCTGTGCAAATTAATGCAACAGGTATTGGGGGAGGGTTGTTCTGGGTTTAGGCTTCTTCCTTTCTTGTTTGTTTCTTTTTTCGATAAATATGACACAGAAGTGATCTTTTTAATCAGCTCCTCAAACAAAATCTCTCCAGATCACATTAGTAAACCTCTACTATTGCATACAGCAAACAAAATTTAGGGGTAAGCATTTCCTAAATGATTTAGCTCTTACCTGTTGCTGATCTGTTCCTTTCTTGCTGTGATTCTGGATATAATCAACTAAGCCATGAACCACAGTCCTCACAGCAACTAGTCCATTTTCCAGTTGTTCCCACGTTGGAGGGGGAGCATCTTTTGCATTGACAGCAAACAGAGAATATAAAAAGAAAAGTCAGGAGAACTTTCCAAAACCAGGTACAAAGAAACCATCAGGACCACAAAACCTCACTAGCAACCAAACACATTTTACTGGAAGTGTGCATCATTAGATTTGTTTGTAAACAAATTATTTGCTCTGGTAAAGAGCTGGAGAGCAAAAGGCATCTCAGCAAGGCTCTGCATTAAGCACAGTGGTTCTATCAATCTTCCTCTGTTGCTTTGCAAATCCTGTTTCAGATAGCAGCATATGTACTAAAAAAAGGGAAAAGGAGGAAGCTGAGACTGCTGCCATTCCCTCTGTTAGCATTGCTCAATAGCAAGTACACACCATGTAACCTCACAGGATTGTTATGCATGCAGTGTCCTCATCCATAAGCACCCAGTGCTGTCAAACAAGGAAGCTCTCTTCAGAACAGCAGTGAAATTATTCCTGCCGTACTTCTGAATCTATAGATTCAAAATAGCTCAGAATAGTTGCAATCCTCACACAGATTACTGCCGTTCCCAGGGTGGTTATGAACACCACTCAAGAACCTGAAGTCTGAATTAGAGGATGCTTCCTTCCACTTGAAGGACAGCTTTTGAGCGTTCAATGGTGTTAAGCTCCTTTTGCTAAACTGGAAGTTAAACGTTTTTATAAAACATCTAGACTTACCTGGACTAGGATCAATATTTGCCAGGAGCTCTAGGTGAGGCCGAAGACGATTCAGGTTAGCTGGATCTCCAGTCCTCTGAAGAGCAATAGTTAATTCCTGAACACTCTGTGCAAACGAGGCTGGGGTCTGCAACTTAAAAAAATTATAATGATTAACTTTCTACAGGCAAAGCAATCCTCACGGTTTCTGGAGGTTGCTCCAGAAGCTCGCAAAAGCTGTCTTCCAAAACTGGAGTAAAATGTTTTTCACACAAGCTCCTTCTATTAAATTGTTCTCTACCATTAAGAACACACAATTCTTTTGACATTGCAGGGTTAGATACAGCTCTAAACAGGCAACAGAAGGGCTGGTATTATTTCTAGTAATGCAACCCATGTCTTGTGTGTTGTGTTGGCACTCAGAAAAAAAACAAAGAATATTAGAAACCGTTTGATTTAGCTTTCCAAGGAGACTAATACCTCCAATCCCCAAACCAACAGGTTTGCATCCTGCTTTAAACCAAATACAGCAGATAACAAGCAGCAAGATAGCTGAAGGACAAATAGCTAGCAATGTTCCACTTCCTAACATCACACAATTTCAGCATTCAATATTCTTTAATTCTACCTAGATCCTTCAGGAGAAGTACAGTAGGACACCTGAAAAGGCGGGCAAATGCATACATAGCAGACCAATCTTGAAGCTAATCCTATACAGCAGCCAAAGCAATTGTTTCACAGCTTCTATAGCCATTTAGTAAGGTTCAGTTCTTCCCACCTAATTTAGGCAATTACATGCAAGTCCCCTAATTTAAAAATCCATTGATCCAATGTTCCTTCTAAACAAAAGGCATCTGAACACTTCCAGAGGTCGAATAATTTTATTTAAGCAATATGCTTTCACCTCTCATTCTCACTTCAGGTTTAGACTAGGGGACCGATTTTCTTTCAACTTATGCACTAACTTCCTGCCTGGAAACATAAACCATTAACCTCTGTTACTACATAGGCAGCTATCAGCTGCTCAGAGGACACAGCCCAGCTGTGTGGCTTCCCATCTGCAGAAAGAGGTAAAGCAGAAAAAAAAAAAAGGTAGGATAGCAGAGGGAGCAAGCTAACAAATTGGCTAACAAATACATCTTCTAATTATTTAGGCCATAACGGGTTTTGAAATAACAAAGCAAATGATTAATGGGTGAGTACACACGGGCAGAATTTGTAAATTCATGTTACAAGCATTTAAATCTACTACAGTTGCAAATAAGATAGACTGGGCTGATTTCAGCTGGCTTTACCTTGTCAATGATAGACTGCATGTGGGATTTGTGAGACTGGTCTCCATACAGCAGTGAGGACCACTGATCTGGTGCAATGCGTAAACCTGCTTCCATGGCAATTTGAACTATCTGGGAATCGTGTTCCCTTCTCAGAGCTTCGTAAGTCCGAAATTCCTCCTTCAGTTGCATCAGGGAGGAATCCTCATCTCGCTTCGTCACCTAGTGCGGGGAAACAAGCCAAATACTATTAAGCAGGATAAGCCAGAGATTATGTAAAGTCCAAGGCAAGTGAAAGAGTCAGCAACTAAGCTCTTCCTCTGAAACTAAACTGAACTATGACAATGCAGCTAAACTCCAGTTCCTTCTAAATTAACACACTCTTTATGAAGTGGAACCTCTGAAATGGATACCAAACATAATTCACTCAGACTCTGACCCAGATACTGATGGAAGTGTCACACTTCCTGAACAACTTAACTGCATTCCTAACCCTATTTCTCCAATCAAGGTATTTTGTTTGTATTGCAGAATTTTGTTTGCATCTACAATTGGCAGCAACAAAGCGTTTTTCTCCTCAGTTAGCAAAAGTGAATTAAATTTAAATTAACCACCTAGGAATGGACCATTAAATACTGTAAAGTACAATAAGAAGCTTAAGTTCTCTTTATACAACTCTGATATCCGAGAGCACCATATTTCTTTGTAACCACATCACCACTCAATTCACAAAACTGGGGTTTTTCCAGCTTTAAGCCTCTTCTAAGGAGCTAAGTTATGCCGACTTACATACAGGTTTTGTATGTAAACCTAGCTTTATAGCTTGCTGCAATTTCAGCTGACACTGTCGTCATAGCTGTACAACAAAGAACTCTCCAAAAACACGCTGAACTTAATGAGTAATACTTTCTGTAACTACACGTATTTTCAGGCACATTTAATGTTGCAGGACAGTGAAAACTGGAAGTGAAAAACAATAGTTTTCATAGCATTATGAAATCTCCAAGTAGAATCTTCTCCACACCTTGAAGCACGAGGCTCTGTAAAGAAGCTGGACAACATGCCCAATGCTAGTTTTAGAAGCCTGAGGAAATCGTGGCTCCAGCCTCTGAACCACAAAGAGAACCAAGACTTTTCGTGACAAAGCAGATCCATCTTCTAGAGCCAGTAGAACCAGCTTTAAAGCCTCCTCTTGCATTGCTGGTGGGGGGAAAATGTGAAAAAAAGAGACAGAAGATTAGAGAACACCAAGCAAGATTTCTGCACAGTTTCTTGTTTCCCT